TGTAAAACCATAGGAGGGTTAATAAATAGAAAAAAAAAATTGAAAAAGTATTATTGGATCAGCAAATAAAGAACTTTTTTCAGGTCTGTCCGGTTACAATTTGATTTTCAGAAATGTATTTGCATTGCTGTATAACTGACAAGGATTATTTCTGAACCGGGGCTGGGATGAGAATCTTTAAAAGTACTCCCAAATGCCCCACCTATTGATACCAATGTACACTACACACTGTCACACATGCTATTTACAAACAGCCTAGATTTGCCAAGATTTTCTAAAGCCAAATTATATTGGGTTACCAGTCAACATATGTTACATACAACTGCTATGACCGGTGCTCAGCTCAGTTTGCAAAGTGTATTAATTTCCTTTATCTTGTAAATGTGAAGCTCCATGAATGCTCCCCGATATTACAAGTCTCTTGCATTTTTGTGTCCAGGGTTTTTTAGCTATGTGAAATACAAATGAAACTGTCCCTTGTTTGTCACACTCACCGATGTAGTTGCCGGCTGTTGCCCTGGAGTCCACTGCTATAATGACTCCATGCTGGAACTTGAAACCCAGCGTGGTGGTCCCATGGAGGAACTCGATCTTTGGAGAGGATCCGTCCCCTCCCGAGAAGTTTTTCAGGAATTCCGCAGGCTGGAAATTGGGATGAATTTAACATTAGATTTGGATCTGGTACATGTAAATCGAATAGCCTCACTCAACTTTCTCGAATGGAAGCTGCACTATGATTGGCTTGATTGCCTCTATGCCGATGACCAATCATAGCACGTCTTTCATTTGCGGGTGACAGGAAGAAAAGAAAATGGTTGGAGCCATTTTGCAATTGATCAAGCTGTCGCGTTACCGACAATGATCACGAGAGTCAATTTTCAGGGGTGTGGATTGGCAAAATACTCGTAGATTTCACCATTTTAATGAGTTACAAGGTGAATAAACATGCCCAGTAGATACATAACCTCACCAGGAAGGGTTGTATGACATTTTGTTGCATGCATAGATGTATCTGTGATGGCAGAGTAGGTTGGCACAATCGAAACAGCGAAAACTGTGTTTATATGAGCTGCACATGTCTATCTCTCAGGTTTATAAAAAACTTACAGTTCTGGAAGTAAAGTTCCAGACAGAAAAGTGGGCACAATTACAGAATACTGCACAACTTATCTATCCCAGCATGCCCACCTCGCTTCTACCCCATACTAGTTGAAGCCACGCAACATCAAAGCAGCCAACAGAATACGTCACTGCACAAACAATGTTTGAGATGAGCCTGGCTTTGACCTTGACCGTTCATGTCTTGGAAGTCATTTTCATGTTGCGGAGTATTCTGTCATTACTCTAATAAGTATGATAAGTGGCATCCGTCATGTCCGTATACGGAATTCTTTCTCTTTTAAAGTGAATGACCGGCGTACAACTCATTGGAGCCACAGCAACCGAGCTTTGTGCTGGTCAGGAAACCGTCCCACAGTGTTACAATCCCCCAAAATTAGGACCTGTGAGTCACATAGAGTGTGGATCACAGTCCTATCCTTCCCCCTGGAAAAATCATAACCCCCCAGTCGCCCCTTCACTTGCATTTCAGAGACGGAAACATTTTCAAACCCACATTCCTAGTCCTGAGGATGCCATTATTGATGCCTACAAAATGCAAGTCAGCTGTTGGGGAAAAGCCTACACAGGGAAAATTTCTCTTCTTTTGTAGGCCTAGCGTACACATCATCACATGCATTCTCATAGTTGGGATGACATCACAGAGTCTGGGTTCTTCTCTCTGATTGGTCAGTTGGTGGATGTTCCATATGTCACACTTGAAACTCAGAGGGGCAAATATAGTGTTGTGGTCTATGACTGAGAAAAGTCTGAATTAGGGCTTACTGACTAAACTCTTATCAAACATGTCAAATGTGCCCCAAATTTCGCTACATGTTTTTATGCCCTATGAATATCTCCCACACTGTACCGAAATGGTTTCAGTTATTTTTTATCACGTTGCAGGAAAAAAGGAAGAAAGCATGCAAATCCCTGTACAAAAGTGAATGGAGAGTTGCCCCTTTGCCTAACCCAGATTGGACACTGTTTTCATTTGATTACTATCCCTCCGAGACGTAGTACAGTCAGGGAGTCCACCTGGGTTACCCCTTTGCCAAGGTGTGAGTGCAATAATTTTAAATGGAACATCGACCACAAGAATATCCTGATGTGACCAGTGTCACTGGCATGACTGTACCCTACAGGCCATAGGCCCTCAGGCTTTATCATATATAGGCCTAGGCTCGTATGTCCATGAAGGAAGGATCCCCTCCTTCCTCCATGGTAGGCCTACTTGTATGTCCAATAATCCAGTTACTACTATTAGTATTACTAAGCCCCACTTTAGTGTGAAGCCCCCGCTCAGAATCCTGGCTATGCCATTGAGTCCAAGTAACTTGGACTCAACAATTTACAAATCGCCTTTTTTTATTTACGGGCCTACTACGAACATGACGAAAGTACTAGGTTAATATTTGGTATACAATGGTAACATGTTAAAAAAGGCGATTCGTATGCTACTACTACTAGTACTACTACTACTACTACTACTACTACTACTACTACTACTACTAGTACTACTAGGCCTAATGTTGAGCCCAACGGATTAGTCTGCTACACTAACTACAACAAGTGCAAAGCAAACCTCGGCAACTGCTGGAACTGTAAATTTCGGATTTTCTAAAGGGTCATCTTGCAGCAAGTTTACGTCCGTACACTGTCGGATTTTTGCTCCAAATCCCCCCGACCCTTTGTGGAAGTTAAGGCCGCATACATTCTCGAGCGCCATGATTGATAAATTGGATTTTTGCACATCATGCATGTCGGGCGCCCTCTGCAGTTGGCTTATTGAAAATAGGTGTGTTGGTGTCGTCTGCAGCAAGCGATTGTTACATCCATTGCCTTAAACAAATAGCCCCAAAGTCCCTGTCATTCTGACTTCTTCTTCTCTCCAGCCGGCCCAGGCCAACAGCTAGCACTGGTCTTCTGTCAAGTCTCAGTGATCTTGTCTCGCAATCATTCACGCTGCTTCAAAAATGACTGCTTTAGTGTGCAGGACTGCACTAAAGCAGGTAAGAATACGTGTAGGCCTAGGCTTATTTCACACATACATGTACATGTACATGATCACGCAGGCTAACTTTCTGACTTCAGTTTAGGGCCGGAGAGTTAGGCCTACTAGATAAACTGTAAGTTTTTGTAAGGTTCTTTGTCTGTTGTGTTTTTTCTACTTTCATCAAGTTACATTTGTAGATGAACCAGTCCATGAATTGGCTGCCAATTTGACGCCAGTGTAGTGGCAGTGCACATTGGAGGATCAAGTACTAACTGTTTATGTAGAAGTTTATATTGCCCCAAAATATTTGATGTTGAAATGATTTTTACTTAACCTATACAAGAAGAAGAATGGGAAGGGTTCTATATACAGACACCAGTAATTATTCCCTACAGCGACCTATTCAGAAAGCAAACACATGTCCAGAAAAGTTCAAATTAGGAGGGAAAAACTAAGTTGTTTACTAAAAAAAACTTAGAAAAACTTACAAAAAAATTTTCTGACCAATCTCATAGTGGCGTCCGTATATGGAACTCTTTCCAGAAAAATACCTCCTATTGCTGTTTTTAAGTTCATCAATGAATTTTCCTTGACTCAACGTAGGATTTCGTTTTGTTTTCTTCAGAGGGGATGGTGTGAACAGAATTCCCTGACTCGGGATATCCCTGGGTGTCATTATTCAAGCATGTAGTATATCCGACACCTCTTTTTGATTGTCAGATTCCGGCGCTCATCATCCCAGGCAGAAATTTCTCATCAAGCCAGATGAGCTCTGGCAAGATCTACGAGCTGCGCACGTACACGTTCAAACCGGCCCACTTCCGGGAATATCTGGACCTGACTAAGGAGAAATTGCACCTGCGGACTGCTCTCTCCAAACTGTATGGCTTTTGGGTCACGGAGCTTGGAGGAATCAATGAAGTCAATCACATCTGGGAGTTTGGTAATGTGGTAACATGCTTCTAATTGGGGCTTTGCAGAGCACTGGCTTTTGACAAGTGTACATGTATGTGTTGGGCATGATTGGTTGATCAGCATGATTTCATGATCTAGTGCTGCATTATATCAATCCTTCAGGGATCTCTGACTTTGCTTTCCTTTTTGAAGCAACCTTCCACAAACGGTGAATTAGGAAGAAAAAGCAATCATTTGAAGGTGACATTATTGACAGATCTCACACGACAAGATGAAGTGATTGTGCAGGTGATGTGCAGATCAATTGCCTGCACCCAGCGTATCTACTTGAAGATTCTTTAAGGGGAAGATATTTCTCCATTCCTGTATCCCTTGAATGAGTACAGACACCAGAAGCTGATTCAAAGAATTTCCTCCACCAAACAGATAGCTTTGGCCACCGCACTGGAGTCCGGCAGAAGCTCGCTGCGGACCAGACATGGAACGAGTCGTACTTTAGCAAGATCACACCTCTCCTTGTGAAGCAGGAAAACACCGTCCTCTTGGCATCTTCATTGAAACAAGTGGAAGATTCCCCTGTCGCAGAGGGAGGTGGGTGCTGGTCTTGGCATCACGGTGATAATAAAAAAGAAACATTCACATTCCCTTCAATCTTTTTTTAATCCGCTAATTTTTTGATGAAAGGATTAATCAACAAAATTGCCTGTAATTGCAGTCTGTCTTGAGGATGGTTTCGCTAAAGTGTCTTGGCAAGTCATTGAATGCACTGTGTGTAGCTTTAAACTACAACCTGTCTCTGTAGTTAAACTTCATTTTCCACTAGTGGAGAATGTTTGAGATTTTTGGCTGGTAGTGAATTTGATACAGGTGAATCAAATAGGAAGATGTAACCAAACATTTGATGCACGAGTCAATGGATTTAGTAACTAATTAATATTTTGGGCCTACATTTAGTTTGTCAACCTAGACTATTTTTCTTGACTGTCTGTCATGTTCCAATGAACTCCAAATACATGAGCTTTGTTGTACCTTTGAGAACCAAGAAAGAAATTCATTACCACGTTGTTCGAAGCAGGCATTTTCAATCGGTTTTCAAGTGGAAAATAATCCGCTCCAAGCAGGAACAAAAGAAGGTGTGTTTTGAAATGAAATGGATAGTCATATGGTACATAGGCTGCAGCCGAATCTCTTGTCTAGAGCTTGGTCTAGGTCTTCGCTCCATTGGAAATGCATGGAGACGCGTAGACAATAGACCTAGCCGCAGCTCTGGAAGCCTGTTTCGGACACGGCCTTATTCACTGCATAAGCATGCAAGTTTATGCACGTTTGATGCAGAGCATGCTGAGTACGCACAACGAACATAGCCTGGCATGATTGGTCTTCGCGTGTACACTGAACGCGTGCAAGAACCCATTTGGAAAACTTGGTACCATTTGTCTTTCTTTTGCCGTTGACGTTGCCCTTCAGCTCGGGGCAGATACTATTGGGAACTGACCTCAGTGTAGCTTAAATTTTCAAGGGGGTGTTGTGAGTACCACCTAAGAAATGGGGTTCTGAGTGTTTGGTGCTCTGTACAAACAGGTGTGTATGAGCTTTGCCAGTCTGAAGCCAAACCGGGCAGTGAGGATCTCCTGATGCAAGCGATCTCCAAGCGGGCGGAGTTTGTCGTGACAACCGGGGGTGGCAAACTGATGGGGCTTTTCTCCACCGATGTTGGCCACAATAACAGAAGTAAGAAAACCAAATTAGCTTCAAGTAGCTTTAGAGGGAATGGAGATTGTATTTCAAACACTTAGCTTCCTAGATCCTTCAAAATCCACCAAGGGGGTTTAGTTATCATTGTTTTACATGGGATCTGATACCCGTGGAAAGTTCATAAGCATTGTTGTAGAATATGCCGAGGGTTGCTTTGTACGTTCTTGACACTTAACCTCAAGTAAAAAAAAAATAAACCAACAATTGCCTGTTGCAGTCTCTGTCGTTCATATTACCACTTTGAGAATAATAGTTTTAAAAGTTTATTTAGTGATGGGAATGGTTGAGACCAGTCCCCCCTGCACATTCCAGTGAGTAGATTGGCAACCAGCACGTAATTTACAATGTAACTCATTTATTCAGCTCCAAGAGACCCCAGAGCTATCCCGGTTTTTTACCTCAGAGATGAGTGATTTTGGAGGATTGAAGATAAGCCTCCGGCACACCACAATCAAAACTTGGCGAGGCAACTTTGGCAATGCATTTGGTGCTTGTATTGTCTCACGTCTGATTTTCAAAAACAAAATATTCATTATCAAATTGTACATTTTACTCTTCAATCTTTGTAGTTTATCATCTATGGAGTTATGAGAGCATGGACAGAAGACGCGAAACAAACATTGCTCTGATGGAGTCTGCCAAAGGTACAGAAAAATTGAAAAATGTTGGGCCAATTCTGGTCAGTACTTGTTCCGGCAGAAAATCCCTGCTAAGACTAATGGTTAGCATGTTTCACACATTTGCTAGCAATTTGAGCATGAGTATATCTGGTAATTTTCAGATTCCTGTGCTATAAGCTTGGAACTGTGATCAGCAGTGCCAAACTCTCTGCATAGCATGCAGAGTAACAAAATTGGGTTCTGCTTATTACAGAAATTTACTGAGCACACTATACATGTAGCTGTCCTGAGCAAAACTAGTAAGCAGTCTAAATGGCATATGATGTGTATACATGCATGAATGTGCCATGGGACCAGTTGCCAATTTCACAGAGAGTCTAACCTCAGAAGAATGCTAACACTGGGAACACTCGCTTAGCAAAAACTGCCTACCAGCCAAAATGCAATGTGATATGTGTTTTGCTTTGTAACTGGTTCTCAGTGTTTAGGATGTGAATTTGTTAAGCACTGTTTCCTGGTAAGAAGCTCCATATGTTGGACACCAATGAAATAATGTATTGATTGTTCGCATCTGATGCCATAAGTTTGTAAACAGAAGTTTGTATTTTGCTAGCCTGATTCACACAAGTGTACAATAGTCTCAGTAGCCTACCACTCTTCCCCAAATGTTTGCATGTCAGTACAGTGAAAAAAAAAATATCCTTGCTGTTATTACATGTAGGACTGCAGATTTTTGATGATTTCACCAATGAGCCAGTTTGGTACTCAACTTGAGAATGTCAGTACACATGCAAAGCCGGCCCTATCAGCACGGTGCTGGCCCACTCACACAAAGTGGGTATGTTCAAAGGTGGCATGACATCAGGTGTTCCTGAATGACCTTGTCATTTTGAAATACAAAACTGACTCGGTGTTTTCTTTTCTCGTAGCTTTCTTTGCATAGTGGTGTTGGTGAATGTAAAGTGCAGATGAGGAATCCCCCAAATTGCTTTCTGTCAAGATCATGATAGTAATTTTTCAGGCTTTTTTATTTCACCCATTTTCTGCCACCGACCCCATTGTGCATAGGAAAATCAGAAAGAAAGGAGGATTAGTGAGAACCCTGTCCCTTCTGACTTTGTCCTGTTTCAGATTATACCAAAGAGCTGAATGATCACGTGATCAGCACTTCAAACAAGCTGATGATTCCGTTTCCAGTCTCTCCTCCGTTTCCAGTCTCTCCTCTGAAGTAGAATTGGTGTCAGTGCATTCCTCCTGGGAAATCCCGTCAAGCAGTCCTAGGTTTCATTCGGAAAAATGGAGAGTGCCTCGTGAATTTTAGATTTATTTACAGTGCGTAATCTCCTATGGGGAGAAGCTTGTTGGAATCACTCATGTGGCAAAATCAGTGGCATTATATGGCATTAAGAAAATGTCAACCATCTTTACATTTCTTTGAACAGTAAATTTTGTGCATTCATTTGTAGTTGTGATTGGTGTATTTGCCCCACTTTATACTCGATTTTAAAAACTATAGGTAACTGATCATAACTTCTATGTATCCGCTGCCCACTGTATACCTCATTTTTGGTAATTTGTTTATAAAATCTCCTTGTAAAGTATGCTGTCTATTTTCAAGAATTTTATTGTATAGGAAAGATCAGATATATTTTAAAGACTTTTTAAAATGCCAGTAACTGACCATAACTTCCACGTGATGTACCACTGCACACCTAATATGTGATACAAATTTGTTAATAAAATCATACTGTAGTGTTCTGTGCATTCTATTTTTCGAAATTTAATGTCATAATGTAAGGTATGTTTTAAAGACTTTTTCTAATCATGGAAACAGAATTCTAAGGCCACCTGTTTTAATTGGGTTGCAGATTAGCTCGTTTAATGTTTTTAACAAATTCAGTTCTAGCCATTTTTTATTTTATTTTTTCTGCGAAACCTCTTATTACCACAATAACAGCACAAGAAGGAACTGAATTGTGGAATCTACACTAGTTTATGGTAAAATCTCGCAGCATAAGTGTTTTTTTTAAAATCCTCTCTGGGTCTGTAGTCTGTGTCCTTGTTTATCAACCCATTGAGACAGAAGCATGGCTGTTTTCCATTTGAAAGTTAATTGAATTGATTTTGATTCCATCCCCTGACACTACCTCCTGGCAATGAAAACTTAGAAGAAAGTGTGACCTAATGAAAGACCTTGAGAATAAAATCAAGTACCATGTGTACAAATATAGTTGCACATTGATGAACTGCAGACTTTTTGTCATTCCATATTTAGATGTTGGAATTTCTTTAACCCTAACAGTCCTCAGTCCTCCAAGAGGTGAAGGATTGAGGACTGTTAGGGTTAACTATGAACTGAAAAGTAATATTTATTAGCAGTGGAATACTTTGCAAGAGAAAACTGTTTTTGAAAAGTCTTAATGGACTCACATGTGTCACAAGGGGGAGGGGCACGGGCACTTGCCTATCCCTGGAAAAAAAACTTTAAAAGTAGCCAAAGAAAAAAAAATTGGAAAGTAACAGAAATAAAAAAAAAACATTTAGAGGATGAAAATCACCAACTCACTAAACCAAAACTGATTGATTCCTACCCTGGAAAAAAGTGGTTTGCCCCCCCAACAAAAACTCTTGGAGATGCCCATAATAGGGCTACAACAAAGACGAGAAAGGAAAACTAGGAGAGGGGTGGCAATTTTGTGGAGCTCTAAAGCACAAGAATTTCCCAAGCAAAGTAAGTTAGTATCATTCAGCAATTTACCATTTTGAGTGTTGTAGGGGGCCCTGCTCCCTGCCCCTCCGGGAAAAAAAAGGAAAAGAAAAAATGAGGGAATTAGGAAGGGGAGGGGAGGGAATGAAAAATCACCAATTTGCAAAACAGTATTTATTATTGAGGCCAGTTAGTAGTGTGATGAGTGGATGGATGATATGGTATACGAAGGCTCGTTTTCTGTTGATCTGGACATCGACTCGCAGTCATATTTAAAGCATACGGCTATAGAGTCGCCCAACCTGAAACTTTCAAAGTCTAAGAAACCCTTTTGAAATGTTCACTCATGTTCACTCTTTCGAGTTTCAGTCACGGTGAGAAACCGTTGATATGAATGAGGTGGATGTGAGGCCTTGCCAGAGAAATGGAGGAAACAAATAAGAATTAAAAGGCACAAACTCTGCACTTCCTGCCCACATAAACTTATTTAGACCCCACCCAAACTGCTGCTGGCTTCCTAAAGGGTGATTGCATGCATTGATTGCTGCGACGGTGATGCAGTCCTAGCCGCGCCGGCCGGCCCAACAGAAGCTACTCGATAACGCGCGTCCGGCCTGCTTAGCCAGGCATAAAACAGAGGGCGCTCTTCATAGTCGGTTTGATTTTTATGCTTTGCCGGCTTTGCGTCAGGCTGTGACTCGACAGAACCTGTGGTGTCCGAATCAAGTGTTCTACGGCTGTGGCTTTGCTTTCACAGCCGTACCCTCGATGGAGCAGCGGCCGCGCGTGCAACATAGCCGCAGTGACAGAAAGGATTATTGTCTACGTCTGTGCTTTAGGCCGGCCTGAGCCAAGTAAGCGGCCTTACTTCTGGCCGGCTGGAAGAGGAAACTTGCAAGTTGCATGCTACCGGTAGCTCTGGCTGTAGAGAGTGTGCCACGGGTGATGTGTTCTGCATTTTGTGCGAGTTAAGACTTTGGAAATCAGTATGGGTGAGTTTCCGTTGTTATCACAGTGTATTTCTGCATTAAATTTCTGTTTTTCCACCGTAGAGTAGACTTGGTAGGCTTACATTGTAGGTTGGTCTGGTCACATTGGTCAACATTGTACTGCCAAGGCATGCAAGGCAATGGCAGTGCCGCTGCTACCCTAGCCCAGGTTGGCCGACGTCTACATTGCATTGCGACTAACGTCCAGCCTGTATGAAAGTCCTCTTACTGTGCGAAATTTTTTGCAACAGTTTTTTCTCACATTTTTACCTGACAAAGACAGCTCAAAATGTCATTCACAAGTGCCTTGTATCCTGAATTCCATGCTGTGTTGAAATTACTAAATACGCCTGCAACAACGTATGCCTACAATGTACATATATTTTGCAGGAAATTCTGCAAAACTCCACGCTTATGGAATTCAAGATACAAGGCACTTGTGAATGACATTTTTTGCTGTCTTCGTCAAGTAAAAATGTGAGAATAAACTATTGGAAAAAATTCCACGGAGTAGGCTAGGAGGACTTTCACACCCTGGACGTTAGTCACAATGCAATGCTACCCCCAGAACTGTCTGGTCCGACATCCGCCCTGCTTCCACGAACGTTCGTCATGTTTGTGTGAGTGTGGTGAGTCGGATACCACAGTTCTGGGGTACAATACTGCATGCAGTACAGATGTTGAGTGCATCTTTGAAACTCTGCACAAATTTAAAATTTGTGTGCACAATAAAATTAAACTTATCACAACAGATATTACCATGACAACTGCACAAAAATTGCATGGATTCATGAACCACAGGCAACTGTCCCAAGAAAAAGAGACTGACACACACTTTTTGCATGATTTTGATCCAGTCTGTTTCGTGCGTGATGTACTGCGTAGCACGGACTTATGTTATGTGGCCGGAGCATGGTACGCCATGCCAGCCGGCCATGAGAAATATCGCCATTCAAGAATTTTGATGTTAATAATAATAGTAATAATGATAACACAGTTTTGTATAGTGCATCACACTAAAATCTTGATGCACTTCACAGTCTTATTGCCATGTGAAAGTAATTAAATTTCCCTGTTGATATTTAATTTGGACTTTTCTTAGAGCCGTATATGTAGATCTGCAATAAAATTAAAAGCAGGATCCCAGACAAATAGCAAAATAAGGATTTTGAAATGACCCCCAAAATTATTACTCTTTTGTACTGGAATCCTAGCCTTTACTCAAGGCAACAGTTTCCCATCTTGACTGGTGTCAGATAGCTGGAGACTAGCCTTCAAAGGAAATGGGCTGGGCCCGGTTGAACGCCAACCATTATGATTCCCTTTAAAATTGCACAGTTCAAAGCACAGAAATTGCGGACATTCAAAGATCACGCTCAACATTATCTGCGCAGATTAGGACTGGTCTTACAACCAACTTGTATGCAGTTTGGCCTTCTCAAAACACTTTCCTACTCAAACGCAAACCAACTCATATGCAAGCCACCTCTATGGATACTTCCAGAACTGTAATGTTTATACAAACCTTACAGATAGCTCTGTACAAACTCGCATGACACAGTTGTGGCTGTTTCAAATGTGCCAACTTACTCTGCCATCACAGATATTTGTGAAACAAAACTTCACACATGCTTTCTTGGTGAGGTTGGATGTGTGATGAGGAGGTTCGTTCACCGTATATCTCATTATATTCAATTGGTAAAATTCCTGAGTATTTTGCCCATCCGAGCAGCAGAAAATCAGCAGCGTGTACGCTCTCAATCACAGTCAGCAGCATGACAGTATGACCATTCACAACATAGCTCCTATCTTTTCCTTGTTGTTTTCCTGTCACCGGCAAATGAAAGTCGAGCTGTGATTGGTCATTGGAATTGAAGTAATTGGCCCAATCATCACTTGGCTTTCAACTGTGGGTGACTGGGAAAAAAAGGAAAAGATAGGAAAAGAAAATGGATATGATAGAACATGGATATAATGGCCCAGAGAGGCTTTCGCCTCTGAACCTCCATCGTTAAAAATGAAGAAACGCTTTGCCATCACTGCTTTTAAAGTCAGTCTGTACAGTGTACATGTACATGTAATTGGTGCATTGCAGGAGGACTGTGCCTCACAGTGTCTGTTGCTGTACGCACTAACTACGCGAAGAAATACAGAAGCAAAAGCATATCCAGGAGCAGTTCACAGACTAATAATCCACTGCCTTTTTAAAAATTGGCATGTAGCTTCCACTACTGTGACCCTGCAAGATCATTTTCAATGTTGCCATACCTTCAGGGCATTTTCACTTTGTCATTCCAAGCTACTTGTACATGTATACAATGTGCATAATGTCGATCCTGCCAGTTCACTTAGTGGTGTGGAAACATACATGTAGGCCTACACTGCTTTGGGAAACATGGTGACGTAACTTGGTTCTATTTGCTTGTCTATTTTGTTTTGGGGAACAGCTGTTGTGCCTCGCAATTTCCGTCTTCTAGAAGAGTTGGAGGAAGGTCAAAAGGGCGGTGAAGGTTTCGTGAGCTGGGGATTGTTTCGTGATGATGACATCCTGCTAATTAATTGGTCTGGCATGATCCTGGGCCCTCCTCGGGTAAGTGTTGCAGGTGTATAGATCTCCATGAAGCCCTCTACCACTTGTGGACTCTATCATTTCACAGTGATCTGGCCATCCACACTTTTTTAATGTTTAGCTAATAAATACAATTTTTTGATATTTAACAACAAGATATATCATGCATCATGCATGTACATGTATGCCTCGCTTTTGATAAACATGCTAGTACGACAGTGTTTTGATGCCCTGTAACTTCAAGTCTTTGCCTTGGAGCGATGTTTGCTGTCATGACAACCTGCAACAGTTGAGTTGGGTACCACACGCAGCTTGTTATGTACTAGTGTTCAAACAGCAAACCTGCCTACCACTCATGAACAGAGTGGTTCAGTGGTGTTACGTGCTTTGTTGTCGAAGATTGTTGCTGGTTTGCACACCTTTCTGTTCAAAGCAGCTAGAGCTCTGAATCAAATACATGTACATGTCACCCCTCACTCCAACATTATAGTCTAGATTGTGTAACAGTAGAAGCACTCTGTGTTTGCAGCAGAACTTTGGTGAGTGGCATTCAGCTCAGTAATTGTGAGGAGTGAATCAGTTTTACCAACACAGGAAAGAGGTTACTGTTGGCTGTGAACAAATTCCTACCACAGTACTTGTATCAGTACCCTTATGTCATTGTATGTATAGAGGCTTTGCGCAGTAGCCATCTTGCAGGGCAGTTATTTTGTTCCACAGGGAAACTTCCTTCACACGTACCCAGTGGAACAAGGCACAGGCCTGCAATTGGCAGCCATGCAAACCCCTCTATTGGACGAGTTGGAGAAGGGGGTTTGGCACGGTCTGTAGACACAGTGCTTTTGATGCTGAGCGTAGACACAGCACTCAAAATGAGGGATTGGATTTCTTCTGCTTTCACAGTATCATGTATTCTGTGTACTCTGCTTGCACAAATTAGGATTGTCAATTTGTCATAGAAGTTACCTTGAATCCAGGGACTTAAGGTAATTTTGATTTTGCGGTAATGTAGTTAAAAATGTAGTACATTTGCGTGTAGATCTCCTGTCTGAAGGATATGTATTTCAATTTCACCGTGCAATCTTCTGTTCTGATTTATTCATATCATTTGATTCTGAACTTTGTTCTCTTCTTTGTTGTTATTGCAGACTGCTTTTGAAAATCGTATGTATAATTTGACACTGGAGTGTGGCAGCTATTATCCTAAACAGCCTCCCGAAGTGCGCTTCACTACTAGGGTCAACCTGAATGGTGTCGATGCGCATGGCCATGTAAGATTTGTTCATTGGTTTCAAAAGAAACCCTCCTGAACCCTCTTTCAAAATCCTTGCCTGAGCCTTCTTGGCAGTAGCTGACAGTGGTACTTACATGTACTTGTACATGTACATGGATGTTTATGGGAAGTGACTCTGGCCTCTACAGAGTTAGACTTGACTCAAGTCTGGATCTCTGTGACATCTTTGTTTCTGCTTTGGATACATATCGAGACCATGCGCCGTTACTCGCTTTGCGCCCTCTTGTGTCCACTTATTACTATGAGTTCAGTTCAGAAATCCCAACTTGACGAATCTGACAACCATTTGTACCCAGCGAATGGGCTTATCTATCAAAAGTGGTAGCAGCCAATCACATTGCTGGACTTATTTTTACTTCTTTCATACCTTCATTATAATGAACGAGTCTACAAGTCTGACTGCTTTGATTGGTGGAAATTCCATATACATTGTGCAAGATCATGTCGTTCATATGCAATTATGAATAATATCACCGACCAGGGGTCCGATTGGCTTATCCGTCAAGTCGGACTTACACGTTGTATAGTAAAGGCTATTAAATGAGGGTGCCTTGTAAGGGTTATGCGAGCTGCCGGGCCAAGCACGACGCCCGTGTAGTGCGTACGGGCTGAAGGGATGGCTGACTTGGGAAGAGCACCACGTAAGTCTGACTTGGTTCAGGTCTACTACAGAGTGGTTCAAAAAAAGTTAAGTTAACCCAAGTTCAAGGTGATTGTTTGCCCAATTCCTGAAGTTCCTGAAAATCTTTTTTTGCCTCATGTTGTTGAGTCGGGCGTTCAACAGTAATCCTGAAGAGAAGGTCGATCCAGCTAAACAGGATCTCAAGATGTGGTCCGTTGCAGATGGCGTGTACAAAACTGGCTCGTCCCCAGAAGCTTCTTTACTGCCCTTAGCTTGCAATACATCTGGACGCCTTGAGCTTGCATGTCTTGCAGCTTGCACTACATGTTGCATTAAGCTTGATCCGTTAATTGCAAGGAAGGCATCTTCAGTTCGTTGTCTAACTCCGTTCACTGTAATTGAGAGCCTTTTCTGTACACTCTGGATTTGGCGTCGCGGCCAGGCATTGGCAAAAGGGCAAGCTTACGTTTCAGACTTGATAAGCCTGGCCTTACAAAGCATTCTCAATCTGTATCTACCGTTCACATTCATCAAAGAAAAGAGAGTTGCGCGATGTTACTAAATCTAAAAAATGGTCCATACTTGCCCGATAGATTTTTTTTGGACAAATTGGGAAATACCTCTCAACTCCTAAAAAAAAAGTGGGTTGCTGGATCGTTTTAATTGTGTTTTTAAGATCCCATGCGGCTACACCTATATGTACCATTTCTTCAAGATTATTGCTAAACACCCTACTCGTCAATACTTCAAATTCTCTGGAATATCAGGAAATGGGTGAACAATTACTGAGACTTGGGTTAACTTATTTTTGAACCACCCCAAAGTCAGTTGCTTCCCATTTTGCCAGCTGTAGCCAAGTAACTTGGACAGGGCTCAAAGGCTGAGCCCGTTACCCCTTCTGTTGTGCAGTACCAAAATATTTGATCTGTGCTCAGGAAACAAGGTGATGGACCCTCACGCCACATCAACCCTGACCTTGGAGGATCTTGTTAGGTAAAAGGAATGTGGATCAATGATGTGTAAAAGTGGCACACATTTGTGTTAAACTTAGACCAAGCTCGGACACGAACTTAAGTTCAACCATTAGTCAGTTGGTTTTTACCAGTGCACCTCTGCAGTAGCCTTAAGCAATCCCTAGTTGAACTATTTGTAATGTGTACACTCTCATCATTATTCACATTTTGCCACTTGTGGCAACTCTTACGGCATTCACAGTCAACGATGTCTCCCACAAATATTTTCAAGTGAATGGTTCCCTCTGTACTAATAACCAGTGATGCCACCATACCCCAGGGGGCTGATTCCAAATGGTGGACTAGATGTTTCAAACTATCCACTGTTTGGGCCACATGTTCGTTCGGGTATTAATGTTGCTTACTTTTACCATCTAAAGAGACTTTTCCTTTTTTTTTTTCTCCCTTCCTTTTGTGCAAACTCCAGGTTGACAGAAGGATGTTCTCCTCGCTGTCAAACTGGCAGCCGAGTAACACTTTAAAGACTGTGCTGACAAACATACGGGAATCTATGGGATTAAAAGAAAATGCCAAGTTACCACAACCTCCTGAAGGATCCACATATTGAAGATGATGGTTTATGTCGAGACCGCTACCCACCACCCTGCATAACATGCAGCAGACATCGCGTACTAAGACAACATACACGTACATGTAATGGAGGACAAATCAGTGACACATACAATTTGCTTCGCTTTAAGTCTTATGTTTCACTCCTTGTAAAGAGTTGTATGCTTTTCACTGTTACTGTTTCAACTCCTGATACCCTGTTACTTGTTCTGCATTGCTGAAACATCAGATCTTTGAAGTTGTTACATTTTTGTGACTTTTGTAAAACCCAAATCATACTGGTATCATGTGACAGCAGTGAAGCATTTGATTGGATGGCATCTTTTCCACTTTGTCCAGCTGATGTTGTGCATGATTTCATGGGAGCAGGGCAAATTGCATGTGAGCTATGTGAAATGGATCGCCACAAAACATGCTTTCTGAATCAAACTTCCCCTTTTCAAAATGGCACTCCAAAGACATTCCACCAAGCTTTGTTCTTATTAAAAGACAAGACTCGTTTTGGAAATCCAAAACAAGTTCAATTTCGATAGGCAAGACAAAACATGGCACTCATGCAGGCCCATATGTCGAAAGCTTCATCAAATAACACAAAACAAGCTCACACGGTATCGCAACCTTGTATGACCCACAGTGCTCTACCTACATATTTGTCGTCTGAATGAGCATAAACCCATCGCTACTGAGCCTAGCCGCATAGTTGTGGTAACGAGTCTGTGTCCTTGGCTGACACTTGCTGTGAATGACACCCCCGAGGGCTCACATGTACCTGTATACAGAGTTCATATGTCCAATGTTTTATTGAGCAGTGGTTCCTACGGCGTTCTCTAGATGAAGATACATGCATGGTATTGGATTGATTTGAGTTTGGCTGGCATTCTTCGGAGCAAAACTGGTCCTTTCTGGCTCTACTGTTGAACTTTCTCAGAATTTTATTTTTGTGGTGTTAGGGTGGTTGGAAGAGGGGGTCACTAGGATGTCCCTAACATTGGGCTATAGGGAGAGTGTTTTGAAATACAATGTACAATCAATACATGGTATAATTATCTTGATGTTCGCATAGAGCAGAGCTGTAATGAAGTCATCACAGGCCAGTGCCAGTCAATCTCTGGCATAAGTCATCAAGGTATTAAGATTTGAAGCTTAGCGCAGGGAAGGTGTGATGGGTACAAGACCTGTGGTGACTCCATGAAGAAACAAGCTCTCTTGAGAAGTGTGGTTGTGGCCAGAACCAGTGGTTTGTCCCTAGTAGTTTAGGACTAACATTTCGACAGTAGGCTCTGGGTTCTTTTCAGGAAGAATGCTGGACTCCATGAAGCAGTGCTGCCGAAGCACCACTGTGTAGGCAGGAGCGTACTAGTCGACGCAATCAATTGCAAATCCATTGGTTCTTGTTGACATGATCACATAAGAGAATATTCCTACGTGTACATGGGTGCCGCGGCAGGCCTCAATTCATCTTCTCCCAAGTTCTCAGTCTGCATAATCTCCACTTGTTCCATGTCCGTTTTCCGTGTTTCACCTCTGTACTACTGGCACGCATGGTCACGTGAAACACGGGAAATGTACGGGTAATCATAAAAAGACACCTTCATGCAAGGCAGTTCATGCGCTTCACATGTATACATGTCAACAGTGACGTTACCGTTCTTTAGTCTTTGTTCATCACCTGCTGCGTGTACTTGCAGCCTGACCAGCAGGACCTGATTACAGCTCTTTGCACAGAGGGCATGCAGCAATGCAAAGAAAAGCTTTTCTAAGCAATGGGGGGTTTTGTTAAAGGTTACTTCAAAAGAATGGGATAAGGGGCAGGAGTTGTAATTCATGCTTTCTCCGTGCTTCTAGATTCAGGCGTGGCCCTCTGGTTATTGTACCTGTAGTATCCATTCTGTGTAAACCCCTTTGTAAATTCTTGCAAACCCCCCCTCCCCCAAAAAAATGACAACAGAAATTTAGAAATCGACAAACATTGCCTGAAACAGTTTGTGTGAATTTGAAGATGTGGTTGAAATCTTGTTCAAGGTAATTTACCGTGACTTCATTCATTCACGAGAGGGCGCTGTGTAATTCTGCCACACAACTGTCTCCAACATATTTGCATTACACGTATGCGTATCAAAGTGTCCAACAGCCACTCGATAGATTTTTTTATTTTACGGTCCTCCAGTGATGTATTGCATTTGATTTCCACGATTAATGTTGTTCAGGGCAATTATTTCGTATACTTTCCAAATTATTTTTAGTAATTAATGTAGACCATCCCTTCCTGAGTAGTTGAGTGTGTATTACTGATTGCCATTTTAATAATACAGTACATCTTTTTTTTTTTTGAGGGAAGGCGTTCCAATATTTTGGGGTCTCTTTTCCACACCCTACCTATCTGAATACGAAACATGTCAGTTTTACGCTGAGTTCAGGGTTGTAGCACAAGAAAGTGATTACCGGGTATTTGATTATTTTCAAAATACCATTACATAAGGGTTATATTAAAGCCAGAGTATACCTGGATGTCTGTTTGATTTTGCCATCCCTTATTATGGAACACCTGAATAATCCCCATCGCCTGATGGGTGAATAGCAGAGATTATGAAACATGAAATATTCGGCCCAGTGCATGGTGTGCCTGTGCCCTCTAAACACAGTGCAGATTGCACTGTGCAGCAGCTCAACTTCATGCAAACCCCATGCAC